TGGAGGAAGGAAAGGGGAATCATGCCTAACTCCTTCTCTGGTAATGCCTTTAGAATTCCTTAAAAGTTAAGAATAGTACCTAATGAGGGTGTTTTGTTGTTGTTTTTAATGACAGAAAAAGTAACCACGACATAGTTTCCCCTCCCTATGAGGGAGTAGCCCTGACTGATGTGTGCAAAATGAACTTTGTTTTTACTGATGGGGCTCAAAGCAGTTTCCACTGAAAGAAAGCAGTCTGTCTGTACTAGAAGAGGCTTTTGGAGTTCCAGGGGACTTTCATTTCCCACAGGTTATATATATTATATAAATGTAATATTATATGTGTACATATATATAAATGTAATGTTATACACATATGCATATATGTGTATATGCATACACATATATGCAAGAACAAAAACCTTTATTCTGCCCAGGTGAAAATTCAAGAGGGCTCTGAATCAAAGCGTTAAATCAAACTGCCACAAAACAACAATGTGTTTTATCCGGGTCCTGACTGGTTCCATTGGTTCCAGTGAAATCTTTGAAAGGCCGAGTTTTAATCACTGCCAGGTAGTACATTCTAACTGCGTGCCCAAGGGTGAGCAGAATCCTGACACGGGTGATATAGTGGTTAAAATGGTAAAACCTGTGTGTGGTACTTAAAAAAAAAACCAGTGGATGTGATGTGAATTCAAGCAAGAAACGTGCCGAAAAAACCCACATTTGGCAATAGTTTTGAAATAAGCAGTCCAGAGCTGGGGAGAGGTGCTTGGTGTGTGTAAATCTGGGAGATCATGAAGTAATAGCCATCTTCGTGCTCTTCACTGCGGCTGTGGGACCGCGCCTGATTGCTAAGCCCTGATTATTGTCTGATGCTCGTGCACTGGTCCCTGCGGAGGCGTTTACCAGAGCCGTCTCCTTCGGCGGCGCAGACCTGGGTCTGCCAGGAGGCCAAGGCGCTTTTGCTGGGGCATCTGTTTCAAATTTCACCTGCCCTGGGGGGTGGGGATGGGGGGGTGCACTTTTTCCTAATCAGTGAAAGTGAGCTGGAGCAGCTAGCCCCCCTCTCCCACCAGCAGCCATGGGCATGTGAGCGAAAAGCAAAACTAGTCAGCCTAGCATGTCTCAGCCTGTAAGCTCCACAAGGGCAGGGTCTGCGCCCCACCCTGGGGGCACTGTTTTGGGATCTCTCTTGCCTTTCAAAATAGGAGTCCACTGTGTCCCAGAGAGCCCTGTCTGCCGGCTGATGTTTGACGTTGTCCTTTTTGTTTCCACCTCCACGGTGCGCTGCCAGCACCAGTCACAGAAGGGCCAGGAGGAAGCGGCTGTTGGGATGTGGATCCCGGGATCCGGGGTGTGGTAGCCGACCTGGCAGTCTCTGATGCAGGGGAGAAGGTATTGTTAACTGATTTGTTAGTAAACAGCACTGGTTACTTTGTGATGCTGGTGATCATCCTAATAAGACGACCTCAGGTCCCGGTCCATAGACGACAGGAAGTGGAATCTGGGATTTGTTCTCGGATTTCCTTTTACGATTCATATCGAAGCGTTCTAACTTGATTCCTCTGACAATATGCTGGCTCTTCTGCATCGTGGGGGTGTACCCCAAAGCAGCGAATTGGAACGTTATTAAAAAGATTGGAAAACGGAATGGGTATCGGTGTCTGCGCTCTCTTCTTCCTTGTCTCGCGCTCTGCACGCGTGCACGCACGCACGCACGCACGCACGCACACACGCACGCACTTTACCAGCGCGTAGGCTGAGCGCAGGTGCTGGCCGTTGGGCTGGTGCGCTCTTCATAGCTTGGCTGCAGCCACTTTAGAACTTTGCAAAATTCTGGCTTTGCTCACCCTCTTGCTACCTTCCTCTCCTTTCAGATGATTTGTTGTCCCCATGGCGCCCACACTTTCACCTTTTTCCCCCCTAAATAGACTGTGAACCTGCACCGTTTTTAGTTTAGGGCAAAGTGGTCCCAAGCACCGTTTCTCTTTGATTTGCTCTGTACATAGGTTCTAGTCCTCCGTCCCTTTGAAACTCAAATGCACACACTGTCCTAAGATGTCAGATGCGGAGAGGGAATGGGTGGGTGGAGCTGGGTGGCTGGCTAGCTCCTTCCGGATTATCTGGGGTTCGGGAATGTTGCCCCTTCTGAGAGGGCAGCATTAGGCATATCACCACGCACTTGGGGCTCACAAAAGGTGGTGCACATTAGCTACATGTACAGAGCTTCTTATAAATCTCACACATTTTCTGTCTTACTGGGTTTTAAAAAGTATTAATTTTTCCTATGACTGAGAAACGAAACCCAAGAATTAGGGGGGGGAGGGGAAGGATCCACCTCCGCCAAGAGCAAAAAGGGCTGTGATTTCGTGCTCTCTTTTTCACAAGATGAGAAGAGAAAGGCAGTATTTTATTATTATTATTCTGATGAGAATCAACTTAACTCCGCGCTTCTGCTTTCTCCCCTCTTCCCTGCAGACTTCACTGTTAACCTGAAAAGCTCCTAACTTCGAATGACCTTTGAGCTTCCTTATTGATCGCACACACGCAAAAACGGTTTTTAAAAGGATAATTTGTAATTTTTATGGAAAGTCACGGTAGCGCCTACCTTATAACACGCTGCCCTCCCATAATGCCCTGCTCTTCCATGTCTCAACCATGGGCGGCTGGGG